CTAGAGAAATTGTATAATGATACATGAATATTGTATATATTTCTATATACAATTTATTGAACAATTTGTACAACAAAAGTTGACTGAGCAGCAGTGAATGCAGGATGTGAATATTTCTCATTGTCTTTCATGGATCTGAGCACCTCAGGGACATTACATTCCCATTGTTTAATGGGTTCTCTAATTTTGTCTGCTGTGGCGAGTTGATTATTTGGGTCACCATAAGTAAGTGGGGCTCACATTCTCTTTATTTAAATGGTTAAAGAAGAACTGGGCAAATCAAATATTATCCCTTACAGTTGGGCTACCCCCACACTGCAAGTGTTAAGTGCTCGTTGTGTCTAAGGAGCTAAAAAACCAAAAAACTTTGGGGCAGTTTGTGAGCTTGAAGCTCTCACTCAAAGATGGTGATATTTCCATTCATTAAATAATGGGGAAGGACACAGATATTCACCAATTCACGCCAACCAGGTTCATGGATTCTGCAGTCTTTACCTCCTTTATGAGCAAAGTTGACCATGCAGGAAGATATAGGGGGTGAGCTATTAACCAATTGCATAGCTAAGAGCTTTGCAAATGATACTTGCTGTGCATTATGGCAACTAGATAGAGCCAAGGAGCATCAGAGTTTCCTATGCTCTTCGGTTCCACCTGTGGCCATAATATACTGCAAATCTCATTTGCATAGCTGTTTGCTTTACAGAAATTTTCTAAAACACCCCCTATATCTTCCTGCATGGTCAACTTTGCTCATAAAGAAGGTAAATACTGCAGATTCCATGACCCTGGTTGGCGTGTTTCTGATCTTGATTGATATTTGTGTCCTCCCCCATTATTTCACCAATGAAAATATCACCATATCTAAGAGTGAGAGGTTCATGCTCACAGGTTTTTATATAGAGTAAGGTAGTTTTTTTGCATTGGTTTAATAAATGTATCACTATGGCACTTTGCAAGTGTATTCATGTATTCAAGGCATCCCATCATATTTTTTAACAATAGGTATCTTCATTAGTTATATTCTTATTATATTAGTTTGAAACTAGAAAAAAAAAAGGGGGAAAGCGAAGCTAGCCAGCAAAAAAAGGTATGCAACTATATATAGTGTTGTATCTCATGGGGAGTGTGGTAGTGAGAGCCCAGCACATTTGTTCTCAGTCTCCTGCCAGCATTGTGTTGCCATTAGGTGGAGCTCTTACTGTCACCGTGTAAGATCATCCATTTGTTTTTTATCATGGGGAAATCAGCCGGATGAGTGTGCCTACATAGCAGAGGGAATAGATCTGACAACTAAGCTGGTGAGATATAGCCACCTGAGTCCCCAAGAGCTAAAAATAACCAGCGTGTGATTCCACTCTGCAGCACCCACCAATATCTGAGACATCCTTTTATTGTCTACTGATCTATTAATTATTTTTTGCTGAGATTTTGCTTTATTTTAAATAGTTCTACGGACAGAGTGATCACTTTGTCTTGTGACGATCTCTGCAGTACAGTGACAACTCAGTAGAGTGCAGTATGAATAAAATTACCTTCGTTGGGACATAAAGGAACATCACTTTTTAAAATGTATGATTCATACTTCTTGACAAAGAGCGCTACCATGGCTGAGCTATCATTTCCTAAATAGCATTTTTCTTTCTGCTTTTCAGACTAGTGTTAAATCATTACTCTATAACAATTGCGTGTGGGTTATGGGTAATGTCACAAAAGTACATTAGTGGGCTGTATTTATTTGAAGTTAAATTGTCTCAGAATTGCACGGATTTTACATTGATAACTAGGTGCCCAGACCAATTTAGCAGTAGTGCCTGTTAACTTTAAATGTGTCTAAGGCCAAGAACAATCATTTAAAGTACTACTAAAGGCTAGGTGTTTTCCTACCTTAATGCATTTTCTGCATTAGCGTAAAAAATGACCGGTACCTTTCCATGCTCCAAACCCCCACTTACCTATGGTTTATCTGTAAAAAATAAGTCAAGTCAACTGGTCTTGCTGTATTTGTCTTGAAGACGTTTCATTGGTTATCCGACCAGCTTTCTCAATTCGGAATTTAGAAAGATAGTTGGATGACCAGTGAAACGTATTCAAGAACAATACAGCAAGTCCAGTTGCCTTGACCTATTTTTTACAGATATACCATGACCTGGATGAATGAGAACCCTTACAGACACTTACCTTTGGTTGCTTGTCACCTCTGCCAAGTCCAGGAAGATCTGTGTCGTTCCCTGAATTTCCTGGTTTTGGAGGAGGGTAATGAGGGTAGTGGAGCCATAAGCTCTTGTTGCTGTCAGTCAAACTGCTGGGAGGAAAGCGGGGGCGTGGCTTGCCACGTGCTGTGTGTGTCTATGGACACACACAGCTAGGCGCACGTTACAGCCAGAAACGCCCACGCACAGGTGTCTCTTCAGCAGCCAGCTAGTTGAAGGAGACAGGCATGAGGCTCGCAATTTGGGGACTTTGTTTCTTTTTAACATTTTTAATTTAAAAAATAACTTTTTTGTTACTATTTTAACACACTGTACTGGCTTTTCATAGAAGAGTGCACAGAGAATGAAAACCGCTAAGCTCTCGCTCACAGCTGGGCTTTTTGTCACGCAAAGCTAGGTGTGACCAAATGCTCGACAAGAAATTTCCCATTCATTTCTATGGTCCCTGTTCACATCTCACAGGGTTATTCACAAAAGGGTGAAGAGTTTGGAGAAGGCAGAGGAAGTGAACAATCTAGGGCAGGGGTGCCCATAAGGTCGATCGCGATCTACCAGTCGATCGCGTAGCGATCACTGGTAGATCGCCATGTCCTCTCCTCCCGACGCTTCTCTGGATCCCCGCTGCTTTACATCACCTCCTGTTCATTCATAAGTTTCTCAATGGGGAGAAGCACTCTGTACAGAGGCTCCTCCCCATTCAGAAACAGCTTGATAGTAAAATATTTTCTGAATGAATGGGAAGCCTCTGTGCTTTCCATTCATTTAGAACAGAGGCTGCAGAAAAAGAGATTGAGGACTTTGTGTCCTCAATTTCTTTTTCTATTTTAAAAGGGAAATATCAGGGGGCTTTTTAGACCCCTAATATTTCCCCGAAGCCCCCCCAAAAGTAAAAAAAAAATTATGAAAATTTAAAATAAATAACAATTAATAATGAAAATAAAATAAAAAATAGTAAAAAATAAATTTAAAAAACTTTGTTTTTTTTCCTTGCCTCAGGCGCAAAAGGAGCTGGCTACTGCTATGCTCCCGTGGTGCTCGTGCGGCTGCCGGCTGAATGTGTCAGACGCTGCAGATGGAAAGGTGCAGGACACCCCATGTGCAACGTCGGCAACACGAGCACCACGGGAGGACAGGACGCCGGGACCTGTAATGTACTTGAATGCACTGGAATGTAAGCAGGCCGACTCCCTGCGTCCCGGTGCGGGAGGGGGTGTGGAGCTGTATTGAAGTCAATGGTATCTCCCACAGTGCGATCGCCCGCACTCGGAACGCAGGCACATTAGTGCCTGCATTCCGGTCCAGTGCGATGTGCAAAAATAGTGCTTGCAGCATTTTTGCGGATCGCACTGGACTGGAACACAGGCACTAATGCAGGCGATCGCACTGTGGGCGAGGGGCCTGCCTGCGCAGCCCACGCCCCCTCCTGCCCCTGAATGCAGGTGTTTTTTCGTTGGTAGATCTCAATGAGCTCGTCATTTGAAAAGTAGATCTCCAGACGAAAAATAGTGGGCGCCCCTGATCTAGGGCAACAGGGCTGATTTAGAAACATTCTCCATTTCAGCTCACTTTCTAGTTCCGTTCTGTTGTCCTAGATTGTTGACTTCTCTGGCCTTCTCCAAACTCTTCACCCTTTTGTGAATAACCGCCTCAGTGTCTTGTCACAAAAAGAAAAAACAGCTGACCTGGAAAAAGTACATGAGCTACTTTTTAGAAGATTAGAGCGCTTTTTGGTCAAATAGGCTTTAATGGGAACCACGTTCAAGCCTTTTTGAATGTTTTGTCACACAAAGTTTCCCTTTAAAGTTTTTTCGACCAAAAAGTTTTGTAATCTGTAATTACAGATGGGGACATGTAAGGGTTTTAAATTAGACAGACACACTTAACATGTATGCAGGCAGTGCCGGGCTTTCTTTTTAGAAAGCCAAACATGCTCCGCAAAGTGTTTTTGAAAGTAATAAAAAAACAATTTTAAATCATATTATACATTTGTAAATATCAGAGTGCAAGTAACCAAATCCATTATTGTTTCCCTTTAAAACTAAAGATTTACAGGGTTATTCACAAAAGGGTGAAGAGTTTGAAGAAGGCAGGAGAAGTGAACAATCTAGGACAACATAGCTGAATTGGAGATTTTTTCCAAATCAGCAATTTTGGCCTAATTGTTCACGTCTCCGGCCATCTCCAAACTCTTCACCTTTTAGTGAATAACCCTGTAAGTGACGGGGCAGAGGTGACCGAAGCACTTTTGAGCTGGGGATACATGAGGACTTTGCCTTATTTTTGGTAAACACTGACATGCCTAGTAGCAATAGGTGATGACATCATAGTGTATTCATACAGTTATAATGTACTGTACTTCATGCATATATTAATGTTCTATTTTTGAAGGATGCATATGTATAAAAGAACTGAGCTGCTGTGTCTGTCTCTGTGTCTGTCTCTCAGCACTCTCTCCCTGCCGCTTGCTGCTATTTCTTCCTGTATATAATAGGACAGCTGCTGCTTGTCATCACATGTTCTCAGCCTGCTGCTTCTCTCCACAGAAACCAAGGCAGAATTGGAAGAGTTGATGTCGGACATCAAAAAGACAGCCAACAAGGTTCGCTCCAAGCTGAAGAGTGAGTGATTGCCGCTTCTCTCTCCACCTTTGTTCTCACATATCCAAGCTCTACAAGTGTGAGAAGTACAGATTTCTGCAGTGCAGCCTTCCATGCACTGCTGTGGTTAGGGATGGGGAAAAACATGCTTTTTCTTTATTCCTACGATGTGAATTCTAATAATGAAAAACATCCCATTATTATTATTACTGTTGTACCGTATATACTCGAGTATAAGCCGAGTTTTTCAGCCCATTTTTTTGTGCTGAAAAATGCCCCCCTCGGCTTATACTCGAGTCAGCGTCTCGAGCACTGAGGAAAGTGAGTACGCTGGTCATGTTTCTTCTTACTTACCTCGCTGTGGGGGCAATTGCCACCCTGCCCCCGGGCCTAGTCCGCCCCTGGGTCAGACTAATCCAGCACGTTATTAATATGAGTGCCCCACTCAATATGGCCGCAAGCGAGGGGCATACTGAGTGGGGCAACTCAGATTAATAACGTCCAATAGATGTGGACTGGAAGGGGGGGCTCTTTACGACTGCTCAGAATCACACCGCTGAACGATCACCTCTTCTCCCGACCGCTCCAGCTCCAGGAATCGGGCACTCACAGAGGCAGCTACGATCACACCTGTCAGCATTCCCTCTCTCTGCTCCCGGCCGCTGCAGCTTCAGAGAGGCCAGAAGGAGAGAGAGGGAGCGATAACGGGTGTAATCAGAGCCGCCTCTCTGAGTGGAGCTCAAGCGGCCGGGACGAAAGAGAGTGAGCGCAGAGAGCTAGCTCCGGCTCTGGATGGAACACTACCCCCGCGGCAATCGCTCGCTCGCTTCTGTTCTCTCTTCTCCTTCTTTGGCTCGGCTGCTCTGTAGCTGCAGCAGGCGAGAAAGAGAAGAGAAAACAGAAGCGAGTGATTGCTGCGGCGGTAGCGTTCCATCCCTAGTCCCGCCGGCGAGGCACCATTGCTGACATTCCACTCGCCCCCCCCCGCAATTTTCACTCGCTAATTGCAAGGGGGCGAGTGGAAATTTTGAGGCCTGGGTTAAATGATCCGTAGTACATGATATGTAGCCCAGTTTTTTGTGGTAAAATTAGGTACCTCGGCTTATATTCGGGTCGGCTTATACTCGAGTATATACGGTATATTGTATTATGTGCGATAAAGTGGACCTGTCAGGACTGAAATATCTTGTTGAATCAGTTTGAAGGACGTTTAGAAATGTTCTAGTGTATTTGTATATTTGCATAGCTGTCTCTTTAACCAAAACATGAATTATAAATTATATGAAAGTGTATCTAAAGCCAATACTTTTTTTCTAAACCTAAGATAATCATGGGGATGCTTGAAATATTAATGCAACTTTGAATGCTCTCGGAGGGGCAGTGAGCAGCAATGGCGTCACTAGGGTGGGTGCAGCCCGCACTGGGTGACACCATGAGAGGGGGTGACACCCAAATGACTGACAGTCATTTGGGTGTCACCCCCTCTGAAAAGTCGGGGGCACTCAGTCATGGACTGAGACCCCGACAGCTGCATGAGAGAGGAGGGGACCCGGCGGCATAGCTTATCCCGCTGGATGAATGTCACTTCCTCTCTCTGCCGGTGTCCATCGCTGAGATGGCTGCCGGCAGTTAAGTGCGCATGACAACGTCATGTGCTTGCGTAATGACGCCACATGGGTGTGTGATGACGTCCTAGCTGGTGACACCCGGCAGCCGCACCGGGTGACACCTGGCCTGGGGACACCTCTGGTGAGCAAGACATTACATAAGCAGGGGGGTGAGAATTTAAGAAAGTCCTATCCAGAAACAGGTGCCATGTGTGCAAGGAAGCAAAATTAGTAGGGATGCACCGATTCTGATACTAGTATCAGTATCTGTGTCCATAACGAGTATTTGGGCGAGTACTCATACCCAAATGCTCCGATACTTATCATGATACCGGAACTTCAAATCAGAGGGATATTTCCTCTAACCGGCAGTGCTGCAAGGGAACATGGAAGCTGGCTCCATGCTGTTCAGCCGGCTCGAAGCTGTTTGGCCGCGAAGCCGGCTCCATGCTGTTTGGCTGGTTCAATGCTAATTGGCTGGGAAGTAATGACCCGCCTCCCGGCTTCCTGATTGCCCAGGAAGCCGGCTCCATGCAGATTGGCTGGGAAGCCAGCTTCCTGGCCAACCAGCATGCAGCCGACCAAACAGCATGGAGCCGGCTTCCGGGGATATCAAGAAGCCGGGCTGCGGGTAATGACATGGTTATGCTTATGGTCATGATGAACAGGGCATGCCATAGCCCTCCAGCCCTGGGTAGTGAAATCAGGCAGTGTTTATACATGGGAGGTAGGATATTTACTTAGCAATGATAAACATACATTTTAAAACACATCTTGATAGGTCATTTTCGTGATAGTGGATGACTGTTCTTCTCAATTGGAGGTCCAGCAGAAGCTCCACACATTATATTATAATGACATTAGAAATGGCTATTATTGTTGACTTCCTTTTTACATGACAATGAAATTCCTGTCTAAACTAGAACCTTGTGTCCTCTCTGCCAGATATTGAACAAAGTATCGAACAAGAGGAAGCCATGAACCGCTCCTCTGCTGATTTGCGCATCCGGAAGACACAGGTATTAGGCCAGGGATGTGTCACAAAATCCCACTTGTGAGCTGAATGATTTATGACTTGGCTGTTATAAAACAGTTCATATGAGTTTACCATGCACGCCTGTTGTAGAGAAGTGACAAGGGACTTCATGGTGCTTTTCCACAAGGCTGATCACGAGTTTAAAACCCTTGACATTTTTTACAAATGTGACTGCCATGCAAAGCAAGTTATTATACTGTTGCAGCACATATCACCTGTTATACTGTTGACAAGCCCTTGTCACCTCCTCCCATGCACACTTCCAAGATTTCACCTAGAGGACTTCTCCAAAGTCTCTCCCTTCATAACCCCTAACCCCACATATATAAATCCTATGTAATAATAATATAAATGCTGTTTAACATTGAGATGTGCTGTACTTGATGTAAATTGGTACAATTGTATGTGCATTATCATTTGTTTTCAATGCTTTTGACTTGCTTTAATATGCATTTAGGTTGCATTGGGCATAGAACAGATATGTGGGCACTAAAACACAGTATTCAGTATGTTACATGCACCGCCATTTACTTGTATGGTACCTTTGCTCCTGCTAATGTACACTAATACCATGAGTGGCAGGATCTCGAGCCCGATCACACTGATGCATTGCGATAAAACATGCATATTACCATGCATTACTGAAATGCATGATGTGGTTTGTATTTTAGGTGGCATTTTAGAATGGCACATGCATCTCATAAAAATCTTTTTTAAAAACCCCGTACCTTAAAGTTTATGAATAGCCAAAACATTTGAAAACTTTTTTTAGTTTTGGATGAAGTAGGGAAGGTTTAGATCTCCTGTCAAGTTTTTGTTGCTCTCTGAGTGGGAGATTCACCCCTTTATCTATATGTTCTGGTGACCATTATTACTGAAACAGAAAGTGAGGAGGAAGTCCAAAATGTTTGAGTAGTCTCCAGAACAGGATGTAAGAGGAAATCTTCCAGGTGGGACACAAGTGTTCTGGTTAGACCTGTCTAAGAGGAGATTTCCTCGCAGGTCCTGTTTCATTTCTGGGACAGAAAATGAAGGGGAATCTCCACAGTGGGTCCACAAAAATAAACTGACCGGTTTTTTAAAAAGTTTTTTGCCATGCATCAACTTTTAGCTGAACTCCAGGTATAAAGTATTTTGCATACTTACATACATTGGCCCAGCTTTCCATGCCTAGTATTTTTATCAATAAACATGTTATCTGATTGGAAAAGGGATAGATGGTGATGTCACTGTGCCTTGTCCAATTAGAGAACGCCTTGTATCTGTTGACTAGGGGTTCTCTGAATGGCCACTGTGCTGAGCAAGTGACCCTATGTGTTTTCAGAGCTAAGGGGAACTCGATCAGCACAGCACAGTACATGATGTGGAAAGACCACAGCCAGCACTGTGGTAGCTACAGTGAGAATTCCCAGTACTACTATTGGAAGATTTCCCTTCTATTCTTGTTCTAGTGGCAAATCAAAATTGTGGAATTTCCCTCACCATGACAATAGTCAAGAAAGACACTTTAAGTGGATGAAACCAATCAGTGGGGACAGGCAGCAATGAAAAATTACAGTGGGCACTGGGTGTGCAAGGAGGAAAGCTCAAGAAGGAGAACATATAAAGTCCAGATTTAATTTTATTTCAAGTCTTCTATTGTAAAAAGCCAAGGCATTACCGACAAATGGAGCGATTTTATAGTTATTACTCTTCAGGATTCCACCAGGCTTATCAGTCCAGTAATAGTTTATTTAGCTGTGCCAAGCCCTGATAAAGGAGGACCCTTAGAACTTCTGAGACATGTTGGTTTTTATGATAAAAGCATCTGAATAACGTGAAATCTGGACATGATATGTTCTGCTTTTGGTGCTTACTTCCTTGCGCACCCAGTCCCTACTCAACCAAGGAGCTAACCTTTGGCCACCACTCCTAGAAAAGCTGCTTAAAGTAACACGAAACTCAGGAGTTAAATATTTAAAATGCATTCAAGTATGTATTCAAGATGCATTCAAATGCAACCTAACTATTAACAAAAATGTAGCTGATTTGTGTGCCACTCACCTGTAGATCCTCAAATCATCTCTGAATTGGTGGTGACACTGTCCTTCCTTCTGGCGGCTGACTACATTTGTTCCCCATGGTCCGTGTTTGTGTTGTAAAGTAGTCACCGCTCCAAGCTGGCTCCCATGATGGACTACAATCTCAATACAAATTAGTAAATTAAACGTAAGATTGTAGTCCATCACGGGAGTGAGCTTGGAGCGGTGGGTACCTTACAACACACACAGGGACCATGGGGAACAAAAGTAGCCACCCTCCAGAAGGAAGGACAGTGTCAGCACCAATTCAGAGATGATTTGAGGGTCTACAGCTGAGTGATGCAAAAATAAGCTACATTTTTGTTAATAGTTAAGGTACTTGAATGCATTTTTCAGATTTAACTCCTGAGTTTAGTGTTAATTTCACACTGCTCAGGACCAGAGTGCAAACAGCTACTGTGTCAGGATATCCGGTGCCCCACACCTTTCTTTAACTTCTGAGCATTGAAAACCTGACAGGAATTCTAATCCTTCCCCACTCAATCCATACCTAAAAAAAAAAAGATGTTTTGGCTCTCAATACACTTTTTAATTCTTCTAGCTTTACTAAATTCATTTGGTCACTTTTGTCTTCCCAGCATTCAACACTGTCTCGTAAGTTTGTAGAAGTGATGTCGGAATATAATGCTACGCAGTCTGATTATCGTGAGCGCTGCAAAGGTCGCATCCAGAGACAGCTAGAAATCAGTAAGTTTTAGTCCTTTGCAATGTTGTAATGAAATAGATAGAGATGAAATATTCCTTTGCGAGTCAAAACTTAGGTGAAGCAAAGATTCATTTGCCATTACTGCAGCAGCGGGGGGGTCATAAGCTTGACTTTACCTTTTCTTCACCTTTTACTTAAACATTATAATGAACATACTTTATGGTTGGGGAAATTCATGTCTTCTTTATCCTTGTGTAAACCCTTTGCTGCGTGTTGAATGGTATACATAGGCATGACTTACAATAGGTCATGTGACTCATCAACCATCACTCTGTGACTCTCGAGATGTCACAAATGTTCATGTATCCAGCTTCTTGTACAGAACCTACTAGTTGAAGATGTATGGTGATGGAATATGAAAGAGCTTGGCTTATGACCGATGTGATGCGGCCACTTTTCTGACAAAAGGACATTTTGTCTTTTTCATCATCTGCATGTGTTGCATTACCACCAGGAAATAAAATTGATTTTTATTTGGATTGCATGTAATGGACATACACAAAATAGTCCAAAATGGTGAAGTGACATCGGGAAAATAACTTTAAAAATTGAAAAAAAACGAGAAGTAGTGCATGCATATGTATTTACGCTACATATCTTCTGGTGCAATCAATTACCTTCAGAAGTCACAAAAAGATGGTTAAAGACCATCTGTGCGCACTCTAAGTGTCACACGATCTCAGTGTGTGTATATATATATAGATAGATAGATAGATAGATAGATAGATAGATAGATAGATAGATATATCTATATATATATATCTAT